ATCACGGAGTGGAGGAAGCCACTTGGGAACGTGAGTTGGAAGTTCGTGAAAAATACTCGGACATGTTTATCGATTTGTAATCTTGTATTTAGATTTTGTATTATTGTTGAACTTAAGAGCTTTGCATATGTCTTAGGTGGCAATAATGTCATGAGTCTGTAAAATGTAGTAATTGATTATTTTGGTTGACCATCTGTTGAATGCTATTGCTTTATTCATTGCTTATATGTGGTTTAGTATATTTCTACTGGGCTGTGGCTCACCCTTTATGGGAACATCATTTTCAGGTTCAGGTGATAAACTACCTCCAAGGACTTAGCTTGGGAGGGTTTGGCTTTTGGATTGAAGAAGACTACCTTTAGTTAATTGTCTTTAATTATTAGTACATGTAAACATTCAAGCCTAGGGCTTTTCTTGTTTTGAGTTAGAACTCATATTGTTTTTGTATCCAAGTGTTGGCTTGGAAAGATGTAAGCCTGTAAGGCATTTTATTCAATGTTACATGTAATGCTTTATTTAGTAATGCTCTGATGAGTGAATTAATAAATTGTCTTCTTTAAATAATGCATGTCAATAATATGTAATGGGTTAAATTTTGAGGGCGTTACATCAATCATCTGCAGAGTGAGTATATCCCCCAAACTAGATGGTATTTCCTCGAGATATTGACACCGTTCCAATGATAAGTGTCGAAGGCTTGGAAAGTGACTTGAGCAGGTGATCCATCGCTTAACATTGAGATTCTTCAGTTTCAAGAATTTGAGTCGAGGAAAACCACCATCAATTGTTGTCCATTGGCATCCCCAGCCAGCATCATTTTGTAATTTGAGAAGCTCAAGGTTGGGTAACAACATCCCAAGGACTGATATCTCCTCCCACTTTATACTTGTACATTTCAAGGTTAGCCTTTCGACATTTGTAGGAAACTTGACCTCTCGGAGATTGGTTGAGTACAAGAACTTACAGTATAGCTTCAAAGTGTCAAGGTGTCCTAAAAATTCTAGATTAGGAAACATCAAATTCCCCAAATATGAAAAAAGACGTCCACAATTTCCCAGCTTTGTAAGATAAGGAGTTCTTGCCAAAAAATCCTGAACAGATCCACATGGATCTAAGTTGGTGATGGTTCGTAGGTCTTTTAATACATGGGGATAGCTGTGATCCACTGCTGCTTCTTTAGAACATAAAGACACATCAACTTTTGCTCCTCCTTTAGCATAAAGATGCCTCAACTTTGGAATCTTCCAAACATTACATGGCAGAATAACCTCTATCCGTGTTTTAGAAATAATAATAAGTGTTTCTAGGTTAGAGAGATTGGATATTGATGGCGGTAAATCATAAGAACTTTCCAAATGAATTGCAAAATACCTCAAATTAACAAGCTGTGTTAATTCTCTTGAAAAGAAGGCATTGATGTACCATATGTCCAACACTCTAAGAAGTTTGAAGGTCCAACAAATAAACGGGCACACATCACCACATGAATTGTTGTTATAACTAATTTTTATCTCTAACTTATTTCTGAAGCACAAAAATGATTGAACAACTGCTGGGGAATAAGGTTCTAAGAGAGCATGATCAAATTTTAGTAAGAAGCAAGGACGGATGCACAGGCGGCATTGGTTATTTGTTTCGTAAGTACTTGAACAAAAAGGAGAAGTGTCTTCATAATTGTGAATCCACTGTAGGAAATTAATTTCCCTGGCTTTCTTCAAGCATAAATCATGCAACAAATCATGCATACGATGTCACGGCCTCAAAATAACCCGTTATATATATATATCATTGACATGCATTCTTTAAAGAAAACAATTTATTAATACATTCATCAGAGTATTACTAAATAAACGCATTACATGTAACATCGAATAAAATGCCCTACAGGCTTACATCCTTCCAAGCCAACACTTGGATACAAAAATATGAGTTCTAACTCAATACAGGAAAAGCCCTAGGCTTGAATGTTTACATGTACTAATAAATAAAAACAATTAACTAAAGGTAGTCTTCTTCAAAGCCGAAAGCCAAACCCTCCCAAGCTAAGTCCTTGGAGGTAGTTTATCACCTGAACCTGAAAATGATGTTCTCATAAAGGGTGAGCCACAGGCCAATAGAAATATACTAAACCACATATAAGCAATGAATAAAGCAATAGCATTCAACAGATGGTTAACCAGGATAATCAATTACTTCATTTTACAGCTTCATGACACTATTGTCTAAGATACGTTTTACTTTCCAACTTTATCAACATGGCTCAGAACCTGGCCAAACTTACAACAGTGAATTATATATACATATCATATTCACATTCTTCCAATATCAACAAACAAATGAGACTCAAGCTCAAATCAAAACACTTCATACTTCCAGATTGATACACATTTTAGTGCTGTATCAATAAAAACACTTCAATATAAATAAGCACACATAAAAGTGATGCTAATGGAGTCCATCCCCTATCTCCTCCCAAACAAAATCCGGTTTAGAGGTCCATCCCCTATCTTCCCCTAAACCGTGGAGTACATCCCCCATCTCCTCCCATACACAAGTAATGCATATAAACACAGAATCACATACGCAATCAATCAATACATAAAGTTAACGTATTCTATCAACTGTCTACACATAATGCATATAAACACATTGGTCATATGCACAATCAACCAATACATAAAGTTAATGTATTCTATCAACCGTCATACTCTATGACACATCCAATTGATTAGTTTTAGTTTGCCTAATCATCATGCATTGTCTACAACAATCAACACTACCCTCCACCGGTAGCTTAAAGTAATTATTTCTAAGCAGGAAATAAATGCACAAAATTCCATGAATTTAACCATCTTTTCCCAATTCCATGAATTAATTATACAAATTAATTTAATAATACAACTAGGGTTTTTCCCAAAATTTACCAAAATATCCCCAACATATCAAAATACCAAAACTTAGAACAAAACCTATAAAATGGAGTAGGAAATCCCTACCTCGAAGAAAACAACTCAAATGGTGAAGACAGAGATGAGTGCCCAAAAACTAATGTGCTCCAAATTGCCAAATGTTCAGATTAAATGAAAGCCCTCGACTCCCTCTATATTTTAAATAAAGCAACCAGGGTAGAAACACCCTCTAAATAGATCAAATCTAAGAAAGAAGGTGAGTAGGGAGAAAGAGAAGTTGGACCTAGGGTTTGGAATCAAAAGAAGATGAAAAAGACTGATCAAAACCCGCTGTTGTGTATATAAACTGGACAGGCTCGCTCGAGCGAAGACTTGGTCGCTCGAGCGACCAGACACAGAGAAGCTACGCTCGAGCCAAGGAAGCCTTGCTCGAGCCAACAACCCAAAAGCTCGCTCGAGCGAAAGAAAACTCGATCGAGCGAAGAATTCAAACCCTCAGGTCTGTAACCAGACACACGCTCGAGCGAAGGAACTAACGCTCGAGCGAAGGAACTAACGCTCGAGCGAAGAACGAACTAACTCGCTCGAGCGAAGAAAAGCTCGCTCGAGCCAAGAATGCAAAGCTACAGGTCCAAACCAGACGCAAACTCTCACTCGAGCTGCCAAACCCCGGCTCGAGCGAAGAACCAAAACAACATCTCGCTCGAGCGACAAACTCCTCGCTCGAGCGAAGATCCAAAACTCTGGACAGCAACACTTGGTTTCTAAACCCAACCAACCTGAAACAAACTTGCCCAACAGAACCTATAATTCCAACTGAGAAAATAAGGGACAACAACAACAATTATACAATGACAGAATCTACGGAACCTAAGTCCGGATACAATAATCAAATGGGAAAAGACCGGGGTCGCTATAACCTCCCCTCCTTCAAAGAATTTCGTCCCCGAAATTAAGCATAAATTTTTTTTGAAAACAGGTGTTTCTCAATTCCCAAAGATATTATAAAACAATAATAAACAACTTGACCCAATACTGGTCACTTCATCTCTTTATCAAGAGGCATCTCACATTATATATATAAAACAACATATACTCAACCCGTATCATTATTATGCATTATTCCTTTCAATGTTAACAATTCCCATATCATATTCAATCGCATGATATATACAACACATTCAACAACGTAATCAACATATGCAATGTTGCACTAAACTTCTATAATGAAGCAAGTTTCAAGATACACCCATTTACCAAAACATACTCAATGTTTTACAACTTAAGACATATATAAAGCTCTTATGTTCAACAATATAACAGAATCTAATTATAAGATTACAAATCAACAAACATGTCTGGATATTTCTGGCGGACTTCCAACTCACGTTCCCAAGTGGCTTCCTCCATTCCGTGGTGTTTCCACAAAACTTTGACCAAAGGGATGGTTTTGCCTCGCAAAACTTGATCCCGCCTATCCAATACCCGAACCGGTCTCTCCTCATACGAAACATCCTCATCAACCACTAAATCGGTCCAATCCAAAACAACACTGTGATGGATCCGGCTCATACTTCCGAAGCATACTCACATGAAACACGTCATGTACTCCGGACAACTGCGGCGGAAAGCTAAACGATAAGCACTCGCCCAATCCTCTCAAGGATCTCAAACGGACCAAATGAACCGAGGGGACAACTTCCGCTCCCGCTCTTCCCAAATCTCATCCAAACCCCGGTCTAGGTGATATCTTCAGAAAGACATGATCACCCACCTCAAACACCAAGATCTCCTCCTACGGTCGGCATTAAGATTTCTGACGACTCTGTGCTGTAACAAGTCTCTTACGGATAAGCTCAACTTTCTCCGTTGTTTCCCTCACCACTTCGCGACCCAACAGAGGTGCATCACCCACCTCGGCCAACAAAACAGGAAATCTACACGGTCGGCCATACAAGGCCTCAAATGGTGCCATACCGATACTGACTGGAACGTTGTTGTAGGCAAAGCTCCACAACGGCAAGTGCCTCTCCCACGACCACTAAAGTCTAGAACACCCCTGAAGCATAATCCTCAAGGATCTGAATAGTACGCTCGGGCTGTCCGTCTGACAGTCATAGAGGATTGGGATAAGATCAACGTGACTAAGGTCAACTTAGTGCCCTAAGGCACTCTGCAAACTTGCCACAACCTGGCAGTAAAACGAGATCTCTATCTGAGAACGATCGTCAA